TTATTGCTCAATAACACAGCGTAGTCGAGATCGTTGGTAGGTTGTCGACGTTTCGGTCACCACGGGTAACCTGTTTTCAAGACTGGGTTTACAACCGAATGAAACTGGTAACGTCGACAACCTACCAACGATCTCGACTACGCTGTGTTATTGAGCAATAAAATTCTACCATAACATTTCACATGGCGCATCGATTTTTCGATACATTCCGAACCGATTTCATTTCTAACACATTAATTCTACGGCATTGTTTTATTTCGGACAAGTGCTTCTCAGTGCCGAACGAGATATTAGATTTAGGCAGGTCAGCATGAATAGGCAAATCTGAAATCAAAACGGACAAAACAGAGTGATGTCAAACACTCGTGGTTGCAGAATTTGCAAAATATGCGGGCCCAGAGAACTATTTGAATCCCAATTCAGTAGAAGATAATCCTAGTATTTTCGTCGTCAGGATAATGTGTGCAAATCAGTCTATTCGGGGCATTCTTTAATTATATCATAATAAGAACAGTTTACATGCATGGGGAAACCATATGAAACAATAAAAGCCTATGCATCCATAAAGTGGTGATTCCGGTATTCGATTCATCATTCCAGTAACTGTTTTCTAGTTAAAATCAACTGAGAATATTATGTTAACTGGGATACATGATATATCAGCCGGGAACTTGCTTGTCATATCACCGGCAGTTTACATTTCCTGTGTCAGAATTGAAGAATCCACGTGGAATTCATATTGCAGAGGCGAATACTGAAGCAGCAGAACGATGCAAACATCAAGCCGATTAGACCAACCGGTCGTGAGACGCGGACCAAAGAACAGACGATGAATTTGTCAGAAGTATCCCCCAACAAACAAAAAGAGGTATTCGGACTAGCAGACAGAACGCAGCGGGATATTTTGCAACCAGGAAGATAGCTCAGGTGAGTAGCTACCGAACAAGCCTTCAACTGAAGCAATCGGATCAGCTGAACCTAAATAATGAGTAAGAGAATCAAACTAACGGCCACAGTGAACTGGCCAGAATGTAGCCAGAATACTCGGGCAGTCGGAGGATCAAAGCTGCTGTAGCTCGGTTTGGAGAACGGACCATATAAATGGTTACATATGTTCCACGAACTTGTCCTAATACGAGTGTCCTCACTCGTCTCGCCATCTTCGTTACTATATGGAGTAAAAGGGGCACGAGCAGGAAGGATAGGTATATGAACCTTGTCGTCCTTACTGTGACACAACATGATCCCATCACCAAATCGCCTAAAAACTATAGTGTAAGACAACGAGCTGTGCACAATGACATCCTTGTCATTTCGTGCAAGGTCAGACTGGTAGAGAATCATGATGGGCATCCTAGATTCGTCCAAATAGTCTTTACCTTTTTTGTACTGTATTCTATTCGTAGATATTAAATTCTGTCTCTCTTGTTAGCCTACAGGCTTATCATTCATCTATATCAAAAATGAGCAAAACTTTGCTTGAGTTAGGTGCATTTCACTGTTTTCAGTTGCATGCTGATACTTGCGTACGAATATGAGTACCAAACAGGTAACCAGCTGTTTGACTTCGAACCAGCTCAGCAATGAGTTCCATGTGATAAAGCTTTCACTTCCGTGGAAAAAAGAGGAAACGTTTATGTACGCTTAATGGAATAAGCAAAGCTATATGCCGAATTTTCCTTACCATGAAAGACTTGCAGAATATGCATAGCATTAGAGTACAGTTAAAAGTGTTCTCTAAGAAAATTTACACAATCGTCTAAAATTGCGGTGGTAAATCACATGAGGTCTTTTAGAAATGTTTTGGCAAATTATGGCTTATCCGTAAAGTTAAGTATCACATTCTTGCGGTGCAAACGGACAATACTTACTCACACAAATGTCAAACGAGACCACATTTAGGCATTGTTTTTGTCCCACTGTGATTGCATTTACTCATGGGCCTATTCAAACGCATTTTAATAGCACGTTACCATTTCCTGATCGTGGCAACAGTATCTGCGAGCAACAAACGTTCGTACTGGTACGAAAGAGGGCAACCTGAATAATTTGTACAGATCGAGACAGGACTCGAGACTTGAAGACGGAGAATAAACTGAAGAGATTCGAATGGGAAACATGCTAAAACCGTTCCCATTCTGAGCTTGCTGTGAGCTCATTTAAACCGACTTTACGCATGATTCGTAATCTGTGATCAGTCAAGCATCGGAGCCGAGAGTCATCAATACGGGTGGTATTTCGGTTGTTGCTGAAGTTAAGTGTTGTATGCCTAATGTCAGTGAATCATAATCCTACTCGACCGGTCCAATTCCCAGCTCCAGCTCGACAGGTGCACATCGCCACAGAGGATTCCCAAAACACTAACGAAAACAGTGATAAAATATTTCCCGTAATAGCAGCTCCTCGTTCCCCTGAAGTTTTGAGATTTTTTAACAAATAGGATGGAATTTCGACTTGAATATATTTTTACTATGCTGTGAGCAGCTAATTTGCATGAAACGTTAGTAAATTTTGAAGTTCGCCCCAGAATACGTGGTAAATCAGGAAAAAAAAATATTCAATTAGAATGAGTTCAACCACTGACTGACAAATGGTAACCAGTTTCTATTCCTTTATTCCTCAGGTATGTCTTGATGAAGAATCCCAAATCTGATACCGAAATTATTGGGTTTAGGAAATGCTGTAGGTCGCAGTTTAGGAGGAAGGTTTTCATTAGTTCCTATGTACTAATGGTGGCATCTCGGCTGATGATGAAACGTTTGTCCCCTGAATTCCAAGCTCACTAATCAGAGGTTGTTGAAGACGCGCAGGCATACGATTTCAGAATTCTCCGGGAACCTCACACTTCTATCCTGTTGAACAACAGTAATTCAGTGTCGGGTAACAATATGCGAAAATTCAACTCAAATCGGTCAACAAACAAAACTAGACTTGTGATCTCCGAATTCCGCTACAGATTCGCGGAAGTAAAATAAACCGAATAGTGAAGACTATGTTAGCAAAACGAAAGTGTACCACATGTCTCCGACACTGATACCAATTTAAACCATGAGCACCGACAAGTCGAATCAGAACGTTGCCAACATAAGCCTTACTTCCTGAATAGGCCCCAATGAGAAGCGACATATACTGAGTGATCCGATAAGGCAGAAGTATGCTGACGACTATGGTCAGGTCACAACGGATAAGACAATTTAAAAGTGGCGTATTTTCAAATTGATTCGTCCAAAAAATACTAAAATAGTAACGAGAAATAGGGAAGCTCGAGTCTCATTCGCAAAACGATTCGTATGAGAAAAACTGCCGTGGGGCTCGATTGAATTGTTTTGATCGTTTGATCGATAAATGAGGTCAGGAGTGAATAACTCGATTAGAATGTATCGTTTGCACGTCTCATATATTGCAAGATGGACCCACGTAGGGTGCTCCGCAACTAAACTGAAATTGATAAATCAGATTCGATTTGGTGTACAGAGGTGGACGTTGTTTCACCGACGGTGTGGGGATCTCAATCGTTCGATGAACAATTCTGAGGTCAGCTGCATAATATGTTCGGGCAAGTGCTGATCCAAGTGGTCGTTTGAGCAAGCAATTGATGTCATCACGTTTGAATGGAAGTCAAAGGGTGACTAGTAGTTTTTCTGCTCAACAATTCGTTTGTGTGATCACTTTAGGCTTGCTGTGCCTTTCGATAAATGCATCGGGATAAGCGTTTCTAGTCAAAGATTCTTTCAGCTGTCGTAGTTCGTTGTCAATCATGTCTTCTGTGCAGATATGTCGTGCTGTTTGAAATAGTGTTCGGACCAGACAACGTTCATATTCCACAGACACAAAGCTGTCAAATTGCAAGCATTGTCCTGTCCAAGTTTTTTTTCGGTAATCAGATCTGGCGATTGTTCCATCATTTTTCCTAGTCATTTTAATGTCGAGGAAGTGCAGTGTATGTTCGCGTTCTGCTTCCATCGTAAATCGTATATTCGGATGCAGGCGATCGAGTTCATCCATAATCCATGTTGTCTCTTCTAGACTTATTGTGATGACTAGAATATGATCAACGTATCGTTTGTAAAGTTGTGAACGTTGGAGGATTTTGCTCGCCTTTTCCTCAAGACGAGCCATAAATATATGTGTCAGAATGGGACTCAATGGAGTTCCCATTGGGACACCGTCAATTTGTCTGTAAGCCCGACCAAGGAAGGAGAACGATACGTTTGTTGTGCACAGTAGTAATTGTCTAACCAGAACTGATACTGGTATACCGATTTTCAGTTGGTTTTGCTCCACATGGTCACAGATGATACGTATGATCTCCCGACCGGGAATATTCGTAAACAGTGATTGGAAATCAAATGAAGCCATGTGTTTCCCTTTCACATTGATCTGGTCCAAAAGCTTTACTACTTCTGAACTGTCTTTCATAGTGTGTCTGACCATTGATTTATGAACTGGCTCGAGCAATTTCTCCAGCCATTTGGCCAATTCGTGTTGTGGTGAATTTGTCATAGATAGATTGATAGATAGATAGATAGATAGTAGTAGTAGCAGTAGTAGTAGTAGTAGTAGTAGTAGTAGTAGTAGTAGTAGTAGTAGTATTAGTAGTAGTAGTAGTAGTAGTAGTAGTAGTAGTAGTAGTACTAGTATTGGTCCAAGTGGCACTCCGGGTTTGTGTAGTTTCGGTAAAACTTACAGTTGTGCAGTTTGAGTTCCTTTTGGCTTCAGATGGTGAGCTGTGCTTTCATCGATGAAGTGTCCTTCTAGTAGAAACTGTACTTCTGTCGATATCTGTTGTTCTAGTTCTTTAGGGTCTTCACAGTCATCTTCGAGTACAAACTTGCTGGGATCATGACGATCACCAGCTGGGAGTTGGTACGGACCCGCTGGTGCACGCCGTCGCGCTGCGCTCACTCCTTGAACGTGCGTTGCCAACGCTAGATGAGGCGTCACGGGCAGACCTGGTGGCAGACCGATTTGTGGATAGTCTGCCGGAGCCCTTGCGTGGGATGGTACGCGTCGCCCGTGCCGGCCGTTCACTGAATTTGGTCCAGCTCGCGGACGTGGCTCGAGAACTGGCCATGCTTGACGTACCTGTGGTCAATACGGCCCATGTCGGAGATTCATGGAAGGACGTCGAACTTGTGGGGGAGAATTATGAACTGGACCTTTCGAACCTGGAGGACGAACCAGTGAAAGCCGAAAAGTTGGAAGAAACCGAGTTTTCTTGCTGTGGAAACGTGGAATCTATCTTATACGAACAGCCTGAAATCCCGAAGGATATTGAAGGAAGTATACCGGAAACATTTCTGCTGGAGACTTCAATCACTACTGATGAGGTGGAAGATGTCGGAAAACTGAACCGTACCTCTGAAAATATGGAAAACTGTAACCGGGATTGCTCTGAAAGTCAACCTGATGATGGTGGAAACGAAGACATGTCATTTGCTCCAGTCTCCATTGCATCGAAAGACAACGGGTCATGTCTTGCGCAATGTGAAACCAAGACGCCGTTCAAAGTGGATACAGAAGACGTTTACCCCCTACCTGAGCAAGTGCCGGGTGAGGAAGTCCAACCTTATGCATCCCGAATGGAGACTGCTGGAAGTCATATCCAGGATGATAGGGGAATGACACAACGCATGGTGCTCAGTAACTTTGAAGTGGTCAGGCACGATGTCGTGCTAACGTGCGATAAAAGTCAAGTGTTGTGTTCAGTATTCACTCTCCACTGTTGCTATCTAGAGTCAAGGCTGGTGTCGGTGCGCATCCCGGACCGGACAAAGCACACCACCGGAGGGACTGTGGGACAGATGACAACACCGCCACGAACCGGTATTGGGGGATTTGCATCTGAAGTAAAGGAAGACTTGAAGACAGTCTGCAGGATTTGGATCGTCTTTTTCTCTTTTTTTTGTCAGGGGGGAGGAGTGTTGTGAGTGTATTTTCGCGTTCTGCTTCCATCGTAAATCGTATATTCGGATGCAGGCGATCGAGTTCATCCATAATCCATGTTGTCTCTTCTAGACTTATTGTGATGACTAGAACATGATCAACGTATCGTTTGTAAAGTTGTGAACGTTGGAGGATTTTGCTCGCCTTTTCCTCAAGACGAGCCATAAATATATGTGTCAGAATGGGACTCAATGGAGTTCCCATTGGGACACCGTCAATTTGTCTGTAAGCCCGACCAAGGAAGGAGAACGATACGTTTGTTGTGCACAGTAGTAATTGTCTAACCAGAACTGATACTGGTATACCGATTTTCAGTTGGTTTTGCTCCACATGGTCACAGATGATACGCATGATCTCCCGACCGGGAACATTCGTAAACAGTGATTGGAAATCGAATGAAGCCATGTGTTTCCCTTTCACATTGATCTGGTCCAAAAGCTTTACTACTTCTGAACTGTCTTTCATAGTGTGTCTGACCATTGATTTATGAACTGGCTCGAGCAATTTCTCCAGCCATTTGGCCAATTCGTGTTGTGGTGAATTTGTCATAGACAGATAGATAGATAGATAGATAGAGACTGGTAGTAGTAGTAGTAGTATTGGTCCAAGTGGCACTCCGGGTTTGTGTAGTTTCGGTAAAACTTACAGTTGTGCAGTTTGAGTTCCTTTTGGCTTCAGATGGTGAGCTGTGCTTTCATCGATGAAGTGTCCTTCTAGTAGAAACTGTACTTCTGTCGATATCTGTTGCTCTAAATCTTTAGGGTCTTCACAGTCATCTTCGAGTACAAACTTGCTGGGATCATGAATAACACTTTCCATCTTCTTCTCATAATCATTCCGATCGATCAGCACTGCTCCGGACCCCTTGTTAGGGCGTAAAACTAACAAATCAGGTCGCAACTGTAGCTCTTCAATGGCGGATGTGAATGTGCTCAGGCGTGAAGAGTGACTTATGTTTGGACGAACTCATCCGGTACTGTCGTTCCAAGTCAATCAGCTTTGCTTTGAACCAAGTCTCCGCATCGTTTCAAGTTGGTTTGACTATTTGTAGTTGTACGAATGGATATTCGAATTGCGCCTGTGTCTTCATGCTGTGTAATTTACTCGGTGGTATGCACAAACGTAGACCAAACGAAAGAGCCTGTAGTTGAAGTTCATTCGTGCAACCGATGACAAATTGATCACAAACTTTTCTCGTTGTTTCGGAAAATTTGGTTCGGCTAACTTGTGAACGATGGAATTGTGAAGCTTGTTAAATGTACAAAGTTTGGCTTTTCGTATGATTTCCATGCACAAATTGGTAAATTTGATTCGGCTAACGAGGCTCAGTTCGTCAAGAATTATTGATCATTCGATGCACGTGGTCTGAAGTGTCGTTAGATTTTCTTTATAATCATCAATCTGACATCGCATCAAACGTCTCAAATTCCTGGTAGAGGCACATATCTTATTCCTCCGTAAGCGTTTGCAAAACGTAATCGGGTATCTGTTGCAACGGACACTTTTTGTTCCAGAAAATTAATACAAACTCGAATCGTGGCAATTTTACATCTCAATCTGACTAGGTCATCGAGAGACCTAATGGTTGATTTCGGGAGACGAGATCTGAGGAAATTTAGGCATGCTTTTCCCGAAATAATCTTGAAAAGAAAAGCCACAGTTGCAAGATTGCACGATTCATGTCCGGGACGATTTCGCTGCATCTCAACATGGTGCACACTGCACAACCATACTGTTTATATAAGTTCATGTAAAACCATAATTTTCGATAAATACAGGGGAAATTTCAATAGTCAAGTAACGTCACCATGGTAAAGACACATGAACAAAGAACTGTTTTTGTTGGTACAATATTAGGTTTCCATCAATGTATGGCAATGGTTTGAACAAACCTCAAAAGCCTGGTATTCTTTGCCACGTATATGACCCGAATCGCAGTGCTTCGGTCAGCTGGATGTTGCGTCATCAGAAGATGACGAGCGACGGCCGACGACGGGATCTTATGGTTTCGAACGTTGTCATTGTGCCTTTGATCTGACCCTGATTGCATCACAAAACGTTGTACCCAATTTGGAATATATTCAATCACTCGGTATTTCTGTCTTGTTTTTCATGAATACGTCTAACATAAGACGTTCCCACCTTGCGTCATGGGTGATGGTTTATCAATTGTTTCCTCAGATCTTTTTTCAGCATTCGAATATCTATTCGAACAACTACAAATAGTCAAACCAACTTGAAAAGATGCGGAGACTTCGTTCAAAGCAAAGCTGAGCACATTCACATCCGCCATTGAAGAGCTACAGTTGCGAGCTGATTTGTTAGTTTTACGCCCTAACAAGGGGTCCGGAGCAGTGCTGATCGATCGGAATGATTATAAGAAGAAGATGGAAAGTGTTCTTCATGATTCCAGCAAGTTTGTACTCGAAGATGACTGTGAAGACCCTAGAGAACTAGAACAACAGATATCGACAGAAGTACAGTTTCTACTAGAAGGACACTTCATCGATGAAAGCACAGCTCACCATCTGAAGCCAAAAGGAACTCAAACTGCACAACTGTAAGTTTTACCGAAACTACACAAACCCGGAGTGCCACTTGGACCAATACTACTACTACTACTACTACTACTACTGCTAATTATAATAATAATACTACTATTATCTTTCTATCTATCTATCTATCTATGACAAATTCACCACAACACGAATTGGCCAAATGGCTGGAGAAATTGCTCGAGCCAGTTCATAAATCAATGGTCAGACACACTATGAAAGACAGTTCAGAAGTAGTAAAGCTTTTGGACCAGATCACGCTTTGGTCGCCTTAGATTATGAAAGAATTTGGAGTTCTGAATGCAAGTAGTCGCCCTTAACTAGGTTCAGTTTTGAAGCGACCCTCGCCAAACAGTTAGCCTTGCAATTGCTCTGTCAATACTTTTGAAAGTGAGGGTTGATTGTAGCATAGGCTAGTGTTCTTCAACGGTCCGTCAGTGTAGCAAGGCAATCGAATGATATGTTTCGTCTAGTTCCACAAGAGAACGAACAAAATGGGGCAGTAAAACACATCATACTGTTCTCTTTATTTTGGCATTTTTGAAACCACAGACCATTCCAAAATCCGTCCTATACAACTGTTTCTTACCTCACTTGATTCTCTAGTGAATATGAAGCTTTCTAAGGTGTCCGTCTGTATCTGCACGAAGATGCTGAAAGCAAAGACCCCGCTGGATGGCCGACTTTAGGTAATTTATCCTTCGCTGAAAGGCCTAAAGGTTAACGTCTTAAAGCAGGTTATACAGCTTGCTACACAGAAATGCTGTGTGCATACCAAAAGAGTCGCATCCTGATTGCATAAACATTAATTAGTGACCAGTTGAGAATAGTTCACAGCTTTAAGCAAGTCATTATGGGAGTTATAACGGTTGTTGTGGGATACCAGTGGAGAGACCAGTCACATGAAGGGCACTGGAAGCCGGACTAACTTTCTTCAATTTATTACCCTTGTCTCTGCCACAAAATGTGACCATACACGGAAGGACGAATGAACTGCGCTAAGATATGTAATCTTTTACTTCAAGGTTGCTAGACCTGGGAAATGCCCTTCCTCCTCTGTCGTGAGGTATTGCGGGCACCATATCACAGCGGATACGTAATCTAACATTGCCTCCGTCATGTTCCTTCATGTTTTCATTTTTAGTCATCTTAAATGCCGTGCCGATAAAATATGCTTTATCGGGCCTAAAGCTTGAAGCATTGAAAGCAAGCCTGTTTGGTAATTGACGTTCTAATATACGTTAGACTACGACTTCAAAGAAGACTGCCACCTTTTTAGTTTCTTCCCAGGGATAAACAATAAGCTTCCATCACTACTTATAACCCAATTTTCCAAGATGTTCATCTTTTAAACGGAAGGGACAGATTCCATGAACATAACAGTTGACGGTATAGTTAGTGGTTGCAGATGACCACTTTGAAATCGGGAATGGATTAGTCATATACCAGTCAGGACTTGTAACAAGTGTTATCTACCTTGGAATATGAACATGGGTAGCATCTTTCAGGACAGCCACGAGCTAAAGATTCCAAATACGTAGTACAAACTTTGAACCGCATTGATTGAGGGCTTGAATTTAGAGTTTCTATTTCCAAATCTTTAGCACGACGACCTTGCTCAAACAAAACTCAGAACGTGTGGATATACCCTAGGGAATAATGATTTCGATTACTGATAGGTGCGTATCCTTTCTCATTTAAGGAGAACTTATTCAGCATGGAAAGCAAACATTTCACAGACAGACTAATTTACAATTTATCCTGCAGGTTCACAACAGTTTAACATTTATAAAATAAATCATTTTTACTTTAGGGAAATTGCGCTCGGGTTTATGAACATACCTCTTGGAATATGACTGTTTAGCTCTAAACCGAGGACCAGAAAGAGAACAGCAACTGACATGTTTGCTCAGTAAGGTTGAAACTGACAAGAAGGATGATAATGTTATTAAATTTGTTTTGCCTAATACATTCCGCTATAACGAGCATATCCAATAGAATCGTGTGTGCGAATAATCACGTGAACGGTAACGGAACAAATGATGTTTGCCGGTAGATCGTCCAACGACACACTCCGTTCAAAATGACCCAGGAAAGTGCAGTTCCTCTGCCGTAGATTTATGTAATTTTCACCTTCGTTTTTCAAGCTTTCATAGTAAACACTTGTACACACCCACACCCGTACTACCGAACGAATAGCATCGGACTGTTCAACCCACTGCTCGGGTCATTGTGATTCATCCATCAAGTACTGAACAACTCCTTTCGCCCAAATCATTTGTTTTGATTTCTGCGCTCTCATCGAATCATTCAAACTAATAAATTTTCCATTTTTTTTTGAAGTAATCGAAAACGCTGTCAAGGATACCAGGAATCAATTCTATCACAATCTCAATGAAAATTTCCGTTGATTCATGAAAATTCATGCTGCAGAGAGAAAAGTCTTTTCACTTCATCCTTTAAGCATTTACTACGTAGTATGGAGTAACTGGGAATAAATATAGTTCTAGATAATATGATTCATCATTTGCAAATAGTTCTAGATAACAGAGTTGAATAAACATGCAATAAGTCCGGGGTCTTTACTACATACTAAAATCTAATGATCCTTTTCAACTCTGGTGTGAAATTATATGTGAATTGTGTGGCCAGTAAGAAGGAGTAGACATGTGCTAAAGTTGGGTGCGTGAAATGTCATAAGATTGATGAGTTTGACAATAGAAATTACAGAGGGAAACTCTTGTTATGGCCACGGGAACAACAACAACGATTCCACAAGACCGTCCCACGGAACTGTTATTGTTGTTGCCGTGGCTCTCACCTTCGAACTTCTACGGCTTCTGCCATCAAGCGTAACTGCCTACGTGGTCGTTTGCTGTGAACTGCACAAGTGGTCAGGACCGTCACCGAATCGATTGGCTGTCTACTATCAAACAAGTGTTGCAAGATTGTGTCTTTGATAGTGTGAACTGTTCCCTTGCGAAGAAGGATAGGAAAATGTCCTCCTGTCTCCGGGAAAGACAAACATACCTGTCCACGGGATTATTGCTTGAATGAGTGCAAAAGTAATTACAACTGGTTCCTGGGCCCGTGAATAGTTCGCAAATTCGCCTACTTCAATAATTACAAATATTCGTTTCTCTTTGCAACCTTATTTTTTTCCTTTGGGTAAATAAGATTTGTCATTTACACGGGCTTCGACATTTATTCTTCTTCTACATAGAAATTTCATATTCCCGGAGCCGTCTCACATTTCTACATGAGTTTTCGCATCGAATGCATCACGTCACTGGCGGATGATCTCTTATTTATGGTTATCTTTGGTTCATTGTTTCGACTTTGAGCGCTTTTATTTCCCATCTGATATAAAAGGAGTGGCCACTTTTGAAGAAATCATAATTTTGTTGATATACTAGTGCTCCGTATTAACCTACTTCCACCTGAACAGATGCGTTGGGATCTCTAGTCTCACAGTGAATTTACAATAAATCACAGGTCTTTCATATCTACTATGGGGCTGGTTTTACTCTATAAGCAAAAATACCAATAAAACCTATGAAATCCATTCGCTGTTCGAACAGGTTCGTGATAGAAAATCTGTTAGGCTCTGCCCACCTGTCTGATCTGGGTAGCCTGTGTACTCTGTCAGCATGACGAACTAAGTCTTATTGACTGATTCGGGGAACACAACTTTGGTTGTTTCGTAGGACATATTTCACCATTATTTTAATGACCCGGTGTTTTTGAACAAACATATTGTCACCCCGGGAGCAACAAATAAAATTATGCTGCCAATCCCGATAAACGGCTGATTTTAACCTTACAGCTGGATTTCTGAACGTAATTTGTGAAGTAACGATAGGCTGTAAAATGACTTCGACTACTCTAAACTGAGGTCAGTAGTTTCGGCTTTTGCTGAAGGTGTAAAATAACTCTACCATTGATCCCGACAGATATAATTGTATACTCGCTGAGTTTGAGCTTTTATTTGTATTTTCTGCTTTCTCATCTTGTGTGGGCTCTTACCATTTATTTCTAGAGTAAAATTCGTTTGCGGATTCAGTCTTGTAAGTATGTTCCTCCGAAAGACTTACGAATAAACTGTGTGGAGCAGACCCCAAAGATACAGACGGCCAATACACTTACAAGGAGAGCGCTGGCAGTATTTGACCCGAGTCGAATCATCACAGGTATGTGAATTGCCGGGTCATAGCAGAATGTTTTTTACAATGAAATATGAGCTTTTCTGATCCACCAGTTAGTGGTTTATACTTCTCGGGTGTGAACTGCTAACGACCGAGTTCTACGCGTAACGGTTGACCGTTCCCAACTGAACCTTGTCTATTCATAAGATATGGGCTTAGGGCTATTTCACGAAAATCTCACAGTCAAACTGGTGTATTACGCTCCAGTAGTTCTCAAGGGCAATGTCAAGTGGGTTCTCCATACGATGGTGTTGATATGACCGGGATTTTGAGACCTCGGAACTGCCGTATACAAGTGTGGAACTCATAATGCTGCACCTTTGATTCACGTTTCATTAAGGATTCAAAGCATCTGAAGTGCAGCTGATAGCGAAACAGCTGTGACGTTCTTTCGTGGAGTTCCAGTGGGTAATAAGCGTTGACACTAGATGCTGAATCTTATCGTATAAGAGAAACTAGCAAAGTATCACATGGATAATTTTTACATGGTCGGACTGATAACTGAGAGTTAGTATCACAATAATTTAAGGCACGTCTTCATCGCTCAAGTTATACTTCCGAATACCAGTGAAGGGCAACTGGGAGAAAGCACTATTTGAAGGTAATTTATTCAGGCCGCTATTTTAGAAGTGTTATGCTTTTTTCATTCGAAAACATGACTCATGTCATTCATTGAAACGATCCAGGATAGAAAACAAGCTTGATTTTGGTGTTTTATCCAAGGTTTATTTACATCACGTTGTATAAATCAAGCATACAAAAGCCATTCTTGTTTCGTTTTTCCCGTGTTAACTGACTTTTCTG